ACAACCCCGTTGCCAGCCTTTCAACTAGAAGGAGCCCCCCTCCATCATCAGCATCCAGTCAAGGTGAAACCAGGAACATTTCACCACAGACCTATTCCAGTCAGTGTTCAATCTCTAACATCGAAAGGAATGAACATTTGGGTAATGCACCAAAGAACGTACGGAATCTTCATCTGGACCTTTTCGCGGACAATCACGGACGGGGAATAGGAAGCTTAGTTAAGGACAGTCTAAATGTCAGCATCACCGAAGCAATCAAACCCGGCATGACCTTCAATCAGGTTATTATTGATATAGAGAAAAGTAAGTCCAATAATGTTGTAATCTGCGCAGGAGCGAATGACATTTTCAGAAACAGGGCAATGTATTTTGTGAGATCGCTCTTAGAACTCCTAGCAAGCTCAGAAAAGATAGTGTACCTAGTGAATATTCCAAGGAGATTTGACTTGGCGAGTGATCACTGGGTCAACTCTCTAATTTTTGACACTAACAAAACTCTATATGAATTAGGTAAAATCCACAAAAACTTAGTCGTGGTAAGGGCTGACGATATCAAATACAAATACTATTGTACAGATCTATTGCATCTTAATCAAATTGGCAAACAAATAGTAGCTAAACGGTTAGTTAAAAGAATAAGTATGTCAAACCAATTGGAAGGTGTCTCCATTAATTTAAACTAGATCCTACTGACGTAACTGCTCAACTAGTAGTTGATAATAGGGAAACTCAAAGTGTAAAACTCTCAGTACCCGATAATGTTGACGGGTGCAACAACACAATGATTCTACTGAATGTACAAAGTCTTTTCAGCGTATATCAAGAGCTACAAGTATTGTTACATAATGTTAAACCCGTATATTTCTGTATAACGGAGCACTGGCTTCCCAAAAATTGCAAAATTTTCTTTGAGAATTACACACAGAGCCAGCCTCAAATGGGGGAACCTATGGCGGTGTTGCCATTTTTGTAAGAAGTGATATAGCTGAATTTTGTGAGGTAGTTAAAATTGATAATTTCTGCCAAGACAAAATCTTCGAAGCTGTTGCCATAAAAAATATAGTGGAAAAAATTACCATTCTAACTGTCTACAGATCAGATGGCAATGTACTGAATTTCACCGACAAACTAGACAAAATAATCGCAGGAATGTCAGGCAAAATTATTGTAGCTGGCGACTTTAATATTGACTTTTTAACAAACGAATGTAACAATCTAGAATCCTGTTTGTCATCACACAACCTTGTGAAGCATGTGCATGTACCTACTAGACAAAAAGCTTGTCTAGACAATGTATTAAGTAACGTGGAGTGTATTGAAACTAAGGTAGAAGACGAGGGTAAATACTCCGATCATAGCATGATTATCTTTAAGTTCAGATCAACGGACGGCAACATGGCCTCCGGAGTCCCTCCAATCAAGAGATCATTTAGTAGAAACAACACCTTAAAATTTCAATCTCTAGTAAAATCAGTGAGCTGGGCAGAAGTCTTCACCCAGCTCTCAGCAGGCAATGCCTTTAAGATCTTTCACGAAAAATTTTGCAGTTTGTTTAATCAAGCTTTCCCACTAATAAATAGAAAAGCAGTGAAGCATAGACAAAATGAATGGTATAATGAAGAAATTGATCTAGCTAGAACAGTGAAGCATGAGTTGTACAACCAAAGTAAAAATAACTTAGTCAAGAAAAGTGTGTACCTCGACTATTTGCGGGAGTACAAAGCATTGATAGACAGGGCAAAAAGGGAGCACTTTGGCAAAGTCATTCACAATGCTTCGAATAAAGGAAAGGCATCGTGGAGATTAGTCAACGAAAATTTAGGAAAGGGGAAGCAAGTGAATACTATAAAAAGTATTGTTGACAAGGGAGTAGAAATAACTGAGGCGACCGGGATTGCAAAAGTGTTTAACAGTCATTTTGTCTCGGCCCCTGTTAATTTAGTTAAGTCTCTGTATAACTCCAGCGCCGCTATATCATCTCATGTTGATTCCGGAAAGTTACAGAGTAGACATACTTTCAAGTTTACCAATGAGAACGAAGTAGTGAAGGCAATCAACGATCTGTCTAGCTCAGGTTCCTCTGGGTTTAACGATATTAGCGTCATGACGATCAAGTCAGTGAGTAAGTACGTAGTACCTGTGCTTGTCTTTATCATAAACCTCATTCTTGCTACAGGGGAGTTCTCAGATATCCTCAAAATAGCAAAAGTCATTCCACTCCATAAGAAAGATGACAAGAAACATGTAAGCAACTATCGTCCGATCAGTATACTCTCAAACTTCGGCAAAATCATAGAAAAAATAATCTATTGGAGACTCTAGGAATTTCTCACGCTGCATAATCTCATAAGTAGCTCTCACCATGGGTTTGTCAAAGGGAGATCCACCTGCACAGCTGTAAACAGCATTCTCTGTTACATTTACAGCAATCTCAAAAGAGGAAAATTAACACTCTGTGTCTTCGTTGACTTGAGCAAAGCCTTCGACATAGTGAATCATGAGTTACTGCGTGCCTCCCTATACGAGTTAGGGGTAAGTGGGACAGCGCTAAATTTGTTGGCCTCCTATTTAAAAAATCGAAAACAGTATGTGCAGATGGATGCCCATGGGTCTAAAGTCAACTCAAAGCTTGAGTCGGTAGACATAGGTGTGCCGCAAGGTAGCTCTCTGGGGCCACTTTTGTTTCTGATCTATGTAAACGCACTCAAAGAGTATTTTAAAGACCTTGAATTTGTTAAAGTAGTTCAATACATAGACGACACAAACATCCTTATCTCTGCGGAGAATACTTCGGAGCTTTATGCGAGACTGCAAATCGTAGAGGATCGGCTAAAGAGCTTCGTGGCTAGCAAGAGACTGTGCATCAACATGGATAAAACCCAACTGATGTTGTTCAGTAAAAACTTAGCGGTTGACAGTCATGCTCTATCAGAGATGGGCGTACAGCTTGTCAACTCTGCGAAATTTCTAGGGATTTTCTTAGACAACAAGCTATCATGGTCTGCCCATACTGAAGCACTATGCAAAAAATTAGCAACCACATCTTTTCAACTTAAAGTTCTTAGAAGTCTAGTTAGCCAGAAAGTTCTTAATAGAGTCCCTTTATACCCAGAGTAACGACAACTCGATTATCAGCTGACTGGCAGCCGACCTTGGCTGGCCATGGAGGCCGAAACTAGTGCACCCAAACGAACGATATTGAGGGATAAGGATCAGGAATCCTGCGATGTCTGTCACACAAAAACAACAACATCAACAAAGTGATCAATTAAAAAGAAAATGAGATTGGTTTGTGAATAATTTCTTAATCTATTTTCATTTTGGACCTATGGAAATAACAATTTACTCTTGATAAACCACAATTAGGTAATATTTTCATTATTCTTGTTCACATTCGAGGTACCGCCATCTTGGTGCACTAGTTTCGGCCTCCATGAGCGAGAACCAATCAGAATTGGATTTTTTTTTAGGCCACTTTCAGCCCAATATTGGCCCAACCAAAAGTGAGTTGTCGTAACTCTGGGTATAAAGGGACTCTAGTTCTTAAAGATGTATACTATGCACATGCATATTCTCACATTTCATCCTGTATAGCCGAATGGGGTAGTTCTAACAAACTGAATGACATTTTCATCTGGCAGAAAAAGATCATCAGAAGAATCTCTGGGCTAGGCAGAAACGAGTCCTGCCGATCCAAGTTCAAAGAAATGAATCTACTAACGGTCCCAAGCATCTATATCTATCATGTGCTTAAATATGTTTTCCAAAACTTTGACGAATTTAAAACTTTCAACAATGTGCATTCTCATAACACTCGGAACAAGTCCAACATAAAACTTGAAAACGCAGTAGATCCCCTACTCAGAGAAGGGAGCAGAATGTATAATAAACTTCCCAAGCACATCAGGGAAGGAGATGGGAACAAATTAGTGAAACTAAAAGTGTATTTAATTAATAATGAATTCTACTCTGTAGACGATTTCTTCGATCACAATGTAACAAATTAATGCATAGTGATTTAGATGTAATATTGTTAACATAAGATTTAAGTATCAAATTTATGTTAATGTGACGTGTACGATAACTGCCTGTGTCTATGTACAAAAATTTGCAAAAAATAAAAAATAAATGCAAAAGCGAATGCGAATCCCCATTCGATGCTTCGAAGGACTATCGACATGCTTTTCCACAATTATGTTCCACATTAATTAATGGAGCCCATTAATCTTATGAACAACAAGAGTTCTGGAAAAGCATGGTGACGTTCTGGATAATCTGATCAATAGTACTGTGCAGTCGCTCACATCATGAACTCTTGTTAGCCGTCAAAAGAGAAAAATGTATTGTTTGGTAGCTGCAAGAAAAATACTGAGTTCTCAGACTGCAATATACACTTTTAAGTACGCTGAAGCGCAAGGAGGGGGACTTTGTTTCCTTGTGCTACTGATTGCGCAGAGAAGGAACATTGCTGATCCTCAACTGTGAGATGAGGACCTTGCACCTCATCTCATAGTATGGACTACGAAGTTTTACATTCGCTCAACGCTCAGCCACGGACTAGCAGTCTTTGGAAGAAAAGAAAATCATATTTCACCTGACTTCCGCTCAGAAGAAACTCGCTGAAGATCGTAGAGGCAAAATTTTAAACTAGGCGCCACGAAATATCCGAAGTTCACCAGTCCAAACAGGCAAATTCGGGGAAGGTGATGACTGTTGTTCTGTTGAATCCCCGAGATTATAATTTGCCTCAGCCAATTCCATTGGCTAGATAGGGGCATGCACCGTCTCTACTTGTCTCTGACAAAAATGCGCATTCTATTTACGCAAATATCTCGCTTATTAGTTGGTTTCATGAATTCCCGTTTTCACCATTGGATTCTACGCGAAATCCTGAAGCAGACTCATGTGCTTAGAGCCTCCAGTTCTTACCCTGTCTAGAGGCTCAATGCTTACATTTGTAATTGAAACTTTCCTCATTAAAAACATTGTAGAATCCTTACCTCTGCATGACTATCATGGACAAGAGTTCCGGTGGCATTTAGTCTGGATTTACCTATGCATCTGGAGCCAGTGGCTAGGCTAACTACCTTCAAGGTTCCATCTGAATTTCTCTTGACTATGGCAGCACATGATGTCCATTGACTTCCATCTGTATGAGGTTTGCCAGATTTAGGTAGAGAGCCATACTTTTTGTAGCATACATCAGTAATAACCGAGGAAAATCCATTCCATTCCATTTTGTCAGAATCAAACTGTGGCAGTTCAAAACTGCTCAGCAAAAGTAAAGGCGCAAAGTCCTATAAAACATGTAAAAATCCCAATAGAGTAAAAAAATATAGGATACGGAGCATTAATTATACAAATCGCGAAGGAGTCCCACAAAATCATCATAGTGAAAACTTGGGTACAACAAGTAAGCCAATGTAGGGTCAAAAATATTAATTTATAGCTTACGATGGTCAGTGCTTCATACCTAATACATACTGAAACAAACTTACATTCAAAATTTCAAGGTGCAATTTGTCTCGTGAAGAATCTCCTAGGTAAGTACGTGTTAGAACTTTCGCGGATGCTGGCAACAGCATCAACACGGTTTAAGTGCGTCTTCATTGTTTGAAGTGTTTTTAGTGGGTCAATATTTGAAACTATTGAATGACTCTTTCGCCTGGAGATGCATAATGAACCCATATGAAATGAGGAGTAATGAGCCTCTAGACAGGGTAAGAACTGGAGGCTCTAAGCACATGAATCTGCATCAGAATTTCGCGTAGAATTCAATGGTACAAACGGGAATTCATGAAACCAACTAATAAGCGAGATATTTGCGTAAATAGACTGCGCATTTTTGTAAATCCCGCTCGCCTAATATACGAATGACGTCACATTTGTAGCCAATAGGATTGTCGCAGCGCTGCGCAGCGCCGACTGAGCATCGGCCATCGAAAA